ATAACCAGCTTCCCTGTATGCAGATGTCTTTCTTCTCATCATACTCTCACAGAGTGGAAACAGCAGAAGCAAGCTGTCTCTCCTATCTTCTCTTAAAAGGGCATTAATCTCATTCATAAGAGCTCCATCCTCAAGACCTAATTACTTATCAAAGAATCCAACTACAGATATACATCCACACTAGGGATGAATTTGGGGCAGATACATTTAGTCCATAGCAAGAGTATATTTACCCTATGTGCTCAAAGTATCTTGTGAAGGCTTTCCTGCATAGGATTTCAAAGTTTCCCAGCCTGAAAATTTCTTTCCAGCCCAAAAAAATTAAATCAGGGATCAACAAAAGAGTCCAATAGTAAATATTTTAACCTTTTAGGCCACATACTCTCTATCAAAACTATTCAACTCTGTAGTGTGAAAACATGAATAGAGCTGTGTTCTAATTTATTTATGAAACAAACAGGTGATGGGCCAGATTTGGCTTACAGGCCATAGTTTGATTACTGTTTAATTAGCCATTAACAGGTTAATGTAACCTCTTAAAATATAAAATTAAAGGTAATATAAATTTATTATATTTCCATTTTAATTACTTAATTTTAATCTATTTTTCAGCTTAACATGAATTATATGACCCTGAGCCACTGGGCTGGGTTTTTTTTTAAATATTTATTTATTTATTTGAAAGAGTTACACAGAGAGAGGAGAGGCAGAGAGAGAGAGAGGTCTTCCATCCAATGGTTCACTCCCCAGATAGCCGCAACAGCCAGAGCCGCGCCGATCCGAAGCCAGGAGCCAGGAGCTTCCTCCGGGTCTCCCACGTGGGTGCAGGGGCCCAAGGACTTGGGCCATCCTCTACTGCTTTCCCAGGCCATAGCAGAGAGCCGGATCAGAAGAGAAGCAGCCAGGACTAGAACTGGCACCCATATGGGATGACGGCGCTTCAGGCCAGGGCGTTAACCCACTGCACCACAGCTCTGGCCCCTGGACTGTTTTCATATTTACATTTGCCTTAAGTTCTTACTAGCCAACACACTTAATCAATTGTGTGTACTGGCAGGGGAAATGGTAAAAGGTAATTTGGTATGTTAATTACTGCATAAGGATAGGTATTAGGTCATAGTCAATTCATACTTCTTTTATGGAGATAAATCTTATTATGTAGCACATTTTATTGTATGTGTTTCTGTTCTATGAGCACTTAGTCTTGAATTCTAACCTGTCATTCCAATAGAACATTTTCTCTTTTACTCAATCGATTTTATTTTCTCTTAGAATTCAGTTACTTGGGTAGGCACCTTACTTTTCATGGCGTAAGATTCAATTTATCAAATCTTAATCCCTTGCAAAATAGTTTTCTAAACTTTTTTTGTATTATATCTCCTCCAACTTTGAGGACACATGGTGAGAATAAGCAGTGGGATTTGATATTGTATACTTTATTATCTATATTTTAAATTTACCTGTTTTGGAAAGCCATGGAGGAAGACATTAGGGATATCTCTTTCATTCCATTGGAAATTATTGTTCCTTTTGGATTATAATACATTCAAACCACAGTATTTCCTCATATCCATGGGGGATATGTTCCAAGACTCCTAGTGGATGCCTAAAACAATGTGTAGTACCAAACTCCATAAGTATACAAGTACTGTGAATGCAGGACAGTCAATCTGATTACCAAGATGGCTACTACATGATTGAATTAAATACTGTCAAACTAGTCTGTCCTCAAATTTTATCAACCCTAGAATGTGGATGTCTTTCCTTGCATTCAGTTTGATCTTTCAATGTCCCTTTCAGAAAAAAAAAAAAAAAGTCTTCCCTTTTTATATGCTACTAATCATAGCACAATTCTCCTTGCCCTCTAAATTATCTTTACAAGGGAGTATTTCAATTTTATTTTGCATTTTAATAGTGTTTGAATCTGACGCAATTTTTTTTAGAAAACTTTTATTTAATAAATATAAATTTCAGAAGTACAACTTTTGGATTATAGCAGCTTTTCTCCCTATAACCACCCTCCCACCCGCAAACCATCCCATCTCCTACTCCATCTCCCATCTCATTTTTCATTAATATTCATTTTTAATTATTTTTATATATAGAAGATCAACTTGGTATATATGAAGTAAATATTTCAACAGTTTGCACCCACACAGACACACAATGTATAAAGTACTGTTTGAAGACTATTTTTACCGTTAATTCTCATAGTATAGCACATTAAGGATAGAGATCCTACATGGGGAGTAAGTGCACAGTGACTCCTGTTGTTGATTTAACAATTGACACTCTTATTTAATACGTCAGTAATCACCTGAGGCTCTTGTCATGAGCTGCCAATTCTATGGAAGCCTCTTGAGTTCACAAGCTCTGACCTTATTTAGACAAGGCCATAATCAAGGTGGAAGTTCTCTCCTCCCTTCAGAGAAAGGTACTTCCTTTTTTGATGGCCTGTTCTTTCCACTGGGACCTCACTCACAGAATTCTTTCATTTAGGTCATTTTTTGCCACAGGGTCTTGGCTTTCCATGCCTGAGAAACTCTCATAGGCTCTTTTGCCAAATGTGAATGCCTTAAGGGCTGATTCAGAGGCCAGAGTGACACAATGCTTTGATCCTTTTCCTAATGGAATCCTAAAATATTACCATCTGGATGATGGTCACTACCTCCTTAAACTGAAAATCATGAATATAGTTTTCTACATTTTATTTTCAGAATCATCACTGCTTATGCATTTGTTTGTCCATCTAACTTCTCTAAAATCACAACTGTAGCAGTGATTTTTCTGACCTATTAATGCCACACTGTGTCCCTTTTTTCAACTCAGCAACTTGCTAAGAATAATAGATCTATTTCTTAATTACCAAATCCCTTTTCAAATCTCTTAAAGTGCCTAATGAGATTACTATAATTTCTTCAAGACTTCTTCATCTTAAGTTTCCACCCTTTAATCATGCATAAAATCTGAATTTGTTTTTAAAATCATTCTCTTTTGTTTTTTGGTTTTGTGTGTGTGTTTTTTTGACAGACAGAGTGGACAGTGAGAAAGAGAGACAGAGAAAGGTCTTCCTTTGCTGTTGGTTCACCCTCCAATGGCCGCCGCGGCCGGCGCACTGCGGCCGGCACACTGCGCTGATCCAATGGCAGGAGCCAGGTACTTATCCTGGTCTCCCATGGGGTGCAGGGCCCAAGCACTTGGGCCATCCTCCACTGCACTCCCAGGCCATAGCAGAGAGCTGGCCTGAAGAGGGGCAACCAGGACAGAATCCAGCGCCCCGACTGGGACTAGAACCCGGTGTGCCGGTGCCACTAGGTGGAGGATTACGCTGGCCAAAATCATTCTCTTAATCACATCCTTACCAAATTCCTTTTCATTAAATATTATAATCTTACAACATTCAGCAACCTAAATTATTTACATGTGAATATAATAAAGCTAGCAGTGCTCCCTGTTCTCTCTAGTTACTTAAAGGCTTCTTTTTTTTTTTTTCTTTTTTTATTTCCGACAGGCAGAGTGGACAGTGAGAGAGAGAGAGACAGAGAGAGAAAGGTCTTCCTTTGCCGTTGGATCACCCTCCAATGGCCGCCGCTGCAGCCGGCGCACCGCGCTGATCCGATGGCAGGAGCCAGGATCCAGGTGCTTTTCCTGGTCTCCCATGGGGTGCGGGGCCCAAGCACCTGGGCCATCCTCCACTGCACTCCCTGGCCATAGCAGAGAGCTGGCCTGGAAGAGGGGCAACCGGGACAGAATCCGGCGCCCCAACCGGGACTAGAACCCGGTGTGCCAGCGCCGCAAGGTGGAGGATTAGCCTATTGAGCCACGGCGCCGGCTGTTACTTAAGGCTTTAACCAAGCAAGTTTACATACATTAAAGTTTTATTTCACATCTGTGTTCTGCAAGGATTCTATTGAGCACCTGCCACATGCTTACCAGAGTTTTAGACGCTGAGAGTATAGCAATGAATAATGTGAAGTTGACGGTATTGAACAGCTCAGGGAAATACATGCCAATATATTGAGTTTGGTTTTAGCAAACTAGACAAGCTTGAACCCCTAGAGTTGTGCTGATTCCAGTATAGTAGCCAGTAGCCACATCAGGCTATTAACTTTTATTTTAAATTAATTGAATTTAAATAGAATTTAAAATTCAGTTCCTCAGTTGCAACTAGCCACATTAGAAGTACTAAATAGCCACACATGCCTAGTGGCTATTGTATTTGACAGTGTAGATATATGGAGTATTTCCATCAACACAGAAAGTTCTAATGGACAGCACTACTCTAGGGATAATGAAAACAAATGTGGAAAATTCTTGAGTGTATGCAAAATTAATATGTTTTAGGATAGCTTGGTCTGCTAAGTTAGGAGCCAACCTAGGGTCAAAATGCCAAAAAGACAATAACAATTAGCTTGTTTCTTTGACACAAACTTCTCTTTCAAAAGTCCTAAGAAGACACAAGTATATGGAATTACTCTGGATTAAATAGCATAGGTACCTAATGCCTGTCCTGCCTCTGCCAATATTAAGAGTAATTTTTGGAGTTTGGACAACTCTAAGTTTTTCTAAAACGCTATTCTCCTTTTAAAACTCACCTTGAGAGCTTGTTTGGAGGTTCTAGCAGGGGAGCACAGCTACTCATATACCCTTGACCAAAGACTGGTCCTCCTGTCACCTTATAGAAGAAAATGTTAGGGCTCACTTTAACCTGTTCTGATCTGTTCTTCATTTTAGACTTTTAGATACTAAACATTTATACTGTGACACTAGACAAGAGATTGTCTAGTGCAGGTTGTATGCTCTCAGAGAACAGAGAGCAAACCTTTACTGAGTTCTGGATCCCTCCTAGTTGCTAGCCTTTTGCTTCATAACACTCTTAATTAGTGCCACGTTCTCCAAGTATTTAGTAAATATTGAATGATGTTCTACACTCATCTACTCTAACTTACTCCTTTTTTCTATTCAGTCTTTCTGATCTGTATTTTCTCTTTACTTAACAGACAGTGTGGAGCATTCATTATTAAGACAATTGGGCAGCTCTAGTCCACCTCAACTGATTTCTTATCCAATGATCCTTGTGTGACCGAGATCCAGCTTCAACGAACCAGCTAGAAGCTGCCCGTTGTGAACTTAGGGTTAGTTAATACATCACCATACTTATTTATTCCACTATAATCTGTCTAAATTTGATGAAATTTGCCTTTTCAGCTGTTCTGCAAAATTATTTAGGTAGATGTGACATGTTGGTTTTTTTTATGTGTTAATCTAACTGTAGTGACATTTTCTACATGTTTTATCCATTCCATAAATAATAACCACATTGGGAATAGTGAGGTGTCTTTCATTTTCTCTGCTTGTGTTATTTCTTCTCAGACTTTAGATATATTTCATATTCTTTTATATGCATTTTAATATTTAGCATAAGAATCATTGCTAACAGATATTTTAGTACTTTAGTATCTTTAACACATAGTAGGTTATTTAGCCTTAATGAATTAGTTCTATTACTTTGCTATTTTGTCGTTTAATATGGTTTTGTCTAATTTCTTATTTACTTGTTACTGCTACTTATTTAATTTTCTTCCATGGTTTTCAGAGTTTGAAATTTATGATTTTTTATAATATTTTCCAAATATTAGAAATACCATCAACACGATCAATATTCTTAACTTTTAATGTGATTAATTTGACTATATTAAATTTTTGCTGTTTGAGATGATACACATCCCTCCTATAACATAATCAATAATGTGGATCCAACTAGTGGAATTTTAATAAAAGAAAGGCTCACCTCTAACATGATCCTGTAACATTGACATTTCACCATATTGATGTTCTTTAAATGCGTTAATAGTTTAACCTTTTATTCTTACATGCTATCAATATATTCAGTTACCTATGTCATTCATTTTCAAAAGAATAATTGTTTTCATAAAATGCAACTTTTTTTTACACCAAAGAAAGACTTTATATTCTGATTCTAAAGCCAATTCTTATTATAAAATTGGGAAAGAGGAGGAGTGAGCCCTTGATCAAGTGACAGAACAAACTATAAGAGTTTTTAATCACTAAAATTTCTGTAGTAGTACAGGAAATATCCCTCTTTATGTTTATATACAGTTCTTTTAGTGACTTCTTAATTTTACAGTGGAGGGGAACAATAAAACTGGCATTGATCTTAATAAGTCTGTCCCTTCCCTCTCCTATTGTAACCTCAAGTTCATTCTGTGCTCAGCAGCAGCAGCAGAAATAATAAGACATGAACCCCAAAGTTTCTCCTTGTGAGTCAGAGTTTTTTTTTTGACAGGCAGAGTGGACAGTGAGAGAGAGAGAGAAAGGTCTTCCTTTTTGCCGTTGGTTCACCCTCCAATGGCCGCCGCGGCCAGCGCGCTGCGGCCGGCGCACCGCACTGATCCGATGGCAGGAGCCAGGTGCTTCTCCTGGTCTCCCATGGGGTGCAGGGCCCAAGCACTTGGGCCATCCTCCACTGCACTCCCGGGCCACAGCAGAGAGCTGGCCTGGAAGAGGGGCAGCCGGGACAGAATCCGGTGCCCCAAACAGGACTAGAACCCGGTGTGCCGGCGCCGCTAGGCGGAGGATTAGCCTAGTGAGCCGCGGCGCCGGCCGAGTATTTTCTTTTGAAACCATAATTAATATCTTTGCCAGTCAAATGGTTTCATGTATCTAGCATACAAAGATCCCATATACATTAATTATTCTTAGTCTGAGAAATGTCAGTAGACTAAGTCGTCCCACAATGAAATTTCAAAATTTTTTGTTCTGTCAGTAAAATATTATTAACCACTGACATTAGAAATCTTTTAATAGTACTAGTCTTGAGAACAAAATACTTAATATTTTGATTTTCAAAAACAATTTCAAAATTTTCAAAAATTTTAAACGTGATGCTAAATAAATTTCTGGTAATAAAAATTAATGATGTGTTACTGGAGAAGGAATTTTGGTAACAATTAATACTGAAGTGTGTTTCTTCCACAGAGCTATACAGAGTATATGCAGAACACACTGCATATAGATTTAGATATATGCACACATATAATTCATGAAACACATATGTTCTCTTAGAATTTAGTTTCATTATAAGAAACTAATAAAAGCTTTGTAATTTATTAACAATATGAATATATGGAAGATATCTTTCAACCTTCTTCATGGCCTAGTTTGATAGCTCAAATATGTTACTTCTAAAAATAGATTGAGGAAAAAAATTCTTACACTAGTAAGTGAAGTCCATTTTTTTTCTATTTTGAGGTATGTCTTCAATAAGTAATTTTGGAAAGTAGGCTTTTCCTTAATACCTATTTTGAAAGGGCAATTTAAAGAAATTAACTAAAATTCACTGCATTAAGTGGAAGTAGATAATATAAATGCTAATACCTATTTTTACTAAAAATTATAAGGGAATAACTTGCCACCTGTTTTCCCCAAATCTAATATAATTGAGATTAAAAGATACTAACATTTCAAAATATAAAGTATCTTAGAAGATTAAGACTAACTTCTTCTGTCAGCTGATTTCAAAAGATGGCTTGAAAAGAGGTATGATTGAGTTTATAACACTGCATTATAAATTTTCACTAATGATGGCAATATAATTTTTTTCAAACATGTATATATAATATATGTAGTTCCTGGATTTATGCTATGCCTAACTATAAAATAATGAGTTGAGGTCACACACAAAAATTCTTTTTATCTTTTCCAGAAATTGTGCTTGGAAAATATTAAAATACACAATCAAAGAACTAGAAATGACTGTAGGAAAACATCTAATCCAGCTCTTCTATCTTATTTTGAAATGTTCTCTACTGTTATTATAATAAATTTATGACCCTTAGACCTATACTTTAACTAAAATTTTTTCTAAAATCTTTATAGACTTAAAAAAGAACAAATGGCAAAATTATATGCAAAGGATGTATATAAATAATATTCAAAATTGGTGCTGTTATTTCAATTCTAGTCAGTATTTTCATCACTGCACATAAATCCCTAAAAGTAGAGTATCAGCCTCTATCCTTCCCTATTGAGTATAATTCCCTGAATATCTGCTATGTTTCTGTCAGCTTCTATCCTTCCCTATTGAGTATATTCTGATTAGCTGCTATGTTTCTATCTCTTTGCTTTTATGAATTGCATAAGTACAATAATATTTTCTGAATACATTGTTATTTTTTAATGTTTCCTTTCCATAAGAATTTATCCCTCAGTTGTCCACTTATTAGTTTCATGATTATCTTGGATATTACTCACTTTGACATGTCAGGACCCACAAATATGAAATAGCATTCATAAATTTCTAACTAGTGAACTAAAAGATGAAGGATTTCTAGTTTATCATGCTTTGGGGACATACTGCTTAAAATAGATCAACTGATATAATTCTAAGCCTGAAAATATACAGTAATGGTCCAGTTGACTTATTTTTAAAACTTGTAATTTATAAGTTTTTTATCAGTAGGTCTGTCAGTTTTCCTCATTTGATAATGTATTTCTCAGTTAAATGATGCTAGTACTCAACTATTTGGCAGTATTTTGATGATTACTTCTTAGTGTAGTGTATATGTTAACCTCAGTTTTTCTTTCAATCAAAGTGTGTACCCACAGAGTAACTGTCATTTAGTCTGTCTCTAAAGATTATGAGTCATAAGCATCCCCTAGGTGTGCTTCCCTTTGAAAAACAGGAGTATGAGAAGTAAAGTATAGAGACTAAAGCTCTTCCCTTCTTCCCCTGCTAAGATTCTTCCTCCATTTCAGCTCCTTTACTTATTGGTTGGTTGTCATCAGAAAAAACTTGGGAGACCCTAGATCCTTACACTACTTTGGGCTATACCTAAGATTCTCTGTGCTCTTAGGCTTGAGGAGAGAATGTCTAATAAGAAAGTCCTTTAATTAGACTCTTACTTTTCTTCTCCATTTCTTCCTTCATAGGATAGTAAAGATAAAAAATATCTACTGGGGAAATTAATTCTTTTAGGGGATGATACTCTATTTTTTTGTTTTATAAGGAGAATCAATTTTCTTTCCTAAACATAAAGCCTTCAAAGTAATTGTCTCAAACTTCTTAGCATTTATTTTTTTCTCCCATTACTACCTCTGATGAGTGTTGTGACATTCTGTCTAGATCCCTGTCATTGATAGGTTTCAGTGCTTTAAAAAGCAGTTTTCCCTTTGGAAAATTCTAAGCTGGGAATCAAATTAAATTCTTCCTGGTAATGAATCCCCTAAGCCTGCTAATTATCCTCTTTCATTCTGGAATGAATTCTCTGCCTGTTCACCTGAATATCTTCCTTACAGCTTGTTCTCCAAAAACCATGTTCTTGTTTAAATCAATTTTAAAAACTGAGTGTGCTGACATTTCCCCCTTCTGACTGCTGATATTCTTTGTTTTTAAATATTTGTTTGTGTGTTTGAAAGGCAGAGTGACAAAGAGGGCAAGGGTGGGTGGAATGAGAGCTACACATACTTCCATCCACTGGTTCTCTCCTCAAATGGCTGTTAACAGCCAGGTCTGGACCAGGCAGAAGCCAGGAACCAGGAACTCCATCCAGGTTTTCCACATGAGTGGCAGAGACCCAAGTACTTGGGTGACCCTCCTCTGCTTTCTCAGGTGCATTAGCAGAAAACTGGATCAGAAGTAGAGCAGCTGAGACTCAAACTGGCACTCTGATACAGGAAGCCTGACTGTTGGTATCCTGAGAGACCTCTATTTTCTATTTTGGGTAGAATTTGTCCAGATTTTTGGAAATCCTGAGTCTTATGTAATATTACTAATGGAATTCTAGATTTAGAAAGGAAGAGAAGGAAAGAAAAAAGGATCTTTCCTCATCTCAGTTCCCTGTGCATAATATTTTTTGTTTTTTATTTACAGGCAGAGTAGACAGTGAGAGAGAGAGAGAGAGAGAGAGAGAGAGAGAGAAAGGTCTTCCTTTGCCGTTGGTTCACCCTCCAATGGCCGCCGCGGCTGGTGCGCTGCAGCCAGCGCACTGCGCTGATCCGAATGCAGGAGCCAGGTGCTTCTCCTGGTCTCCCATGGGGTGCTGGGCCCAAGTACTTGGGCCATCCTCCACTGCACTCCCTGGCCACAGCAGAGAGCTGGCCTGGAAGGGGGGCAACCGGGACAGAATCTGGTGCCCCGACCAGGACTAGAACCTGGTGTGCTGGTGCCGCAAGGTGGAGGATTAGCCTATTGAGCTGTGGCGCCGGCTCCCTGTGTATAATATTAAAGAGAATTCTCATTATCCCAAAAGACTTAATCCAGCTTGGTTGAGTTTTCTACAGTAGACGGTAACATGGAAAAGTTCAAGCAATATGAGGAAAGCTGTGTTTTTTCTTATGGAATCCAGCTTAAATACTAGCTAATTCATATTTAGGAAGTCGTTCTTGGTTTTCACAGCTTCTTTCTTTCTTCCATTTATGAACCCATTGATACTAGTAAAACTCCCAGGTTTTTCACAGTGGTTCCTGATAACAACTAAGTGAGCATTTTAGAAGTACAACGAAAAAGAGAACTGGGATAACTTTTGATTGAACATGGAATGCTGTAACCTTCTAATCCTTGAATAATTTCTATTATATATTATAAATTAGGATAAAATTGAAAAGGTGGGCCATCAGGCAGAGTTAATTTTTTTTACTAAATCCTAAAATCAGATAAAAGGATATGTTAATACATCTTTTTGTATATATTATTTTTGGAAAAGACTATCCTGTTTCCTCAAAAGATTTCAGAGGTCCATACTAGATAATAATGAAATATATTTTAGCAGATTTCTACTTGTGAAGGCTGGGTGTATCATAATCTGTAAGTTATCTAAGTAAAGTATTTTCTTAATCAGATGGGACTTGTATTACTTTGAAGTAATTTGAAATAAATGAAACATTTGAAATAAAGCAGGTTAAGCCACCACTCACAACACTAGCATCCCATATCAAAGTGAAGGTTCAAGTCCTGGCTACTCCAGTTGTGATTAGCTTCCTGCTAATCTGCCTAGGAAGGCAGAGGAAGATGGCCCAAGTGCTGCACCAGTTGTGATTAGCTTCCTGCTAATCTGCCTAGGAAGGCAGAGGGAGATGGCCCAAGTGCTTGGATGCCTACTATCCATGTGGGAATCCCAGATAGAATTCCTGGCTCCTAGCTTCAGCCCAGTCTAGACCCGGCTTTTGTGGCCATTTGGGAGTGAGCCAGCAGATGAAAGATTCTCTCTCTCTCTTCCTCTCTCCCTCTCTCCCTCTTCCTGTTGTTCTGCCTTTCAAATAAATAAATCTTTTTAAAGATTGTTTCTAAGTTCATCCTTCAATAATTAATATTATTTGAATTCCAGATGCTCTTTGGCATACAATCATTGTATCATACTTGCTCTTTTCTTCTAAATCCAGTTGAATATAATCTGGATCATCCAAAACTTGAAACTTTGTGAGGATGATCAGAGCTTTCTTTTACCATACACACAAAAATACATATATACATACATGAATTTGTACATTTGGGAAAACATCCAAAATCCATTCTCAAGATCATTTCTTCATATAAATAACCTACTTGGTCTACTTTCTTTATGAAACATCCTTCAGAACAATTGCTCATACACTCTAAGTGAAGGTAACTGGCAATAACAGGTTTTACTGACATAATTTAATCTTAGGTCATGCAGTTTCAAAAGAATTTTGTTTCTGTTTTTATACTTCATTTCATTACAGTAGATAAACTTGTAATTACTGCCTTGTCTGAATAGGGTCATGTGTAACAGAAAGACTTTACCTTTTCTATGAAATAATCACATTCTTAGAGACTTACCAAATTCCAATGATTATGAACTTAACCTTCTCTGAAATACCATTATATTAATTCAGAATTGAGTCCTTGTTGTCCAGGATATATGACAGTACTTCAGAAAGTTCATAGAAAAATCATTATAAAAAATTATGCATGATTTTTTCTGCACCAAAATAAACTTTTAATTCCATTTTCCATAAACTTTCAAGTAGTTGCTTTTGAAATTCACGTCTGCCTTCATCAATGAACAGCAGACTTGATTTGATTATGTTTAGAGATTAAGGCTATATACCTATAAACAAGGTCCTCTGATGTTTTATCAGTCATATCAAGTTTTGCTTTCACTTCTGCTCCTTATAGTAATGAGACATCTCTTAACTTTGCTGATCTCTGCTCCAAATTCTTATGATATGGGGCAGTCATATATTTATCATCTAAATCTGGACACTCAAGAGTAAATGAAGACAGCAAAAATAATTAAAATTATATAACTTTTAAATATGTGTATATTAATCAACAAAGAATTTTGCCATATTAGTATACCCATACAATAATTCTCAAAAAATAAAATTCTAATAATACAATATTCATAAATCTATACTGTCCCAGGAAACTAGAATGCAGGTAACACTATTAATATAATCACAAAATATAATTGGCCCCTCATATCTATGAATTCTACTTTCACAGATTCAACCAACCCTGGATTGAAAGTATTCAGAAAAACATAACTGCATATGTATTGCACATGTACAAGCTTTCTTCTTGTCATTAATCCCTAAACAATATAGTATAACTATTACATAGCATTTTCATTGTATAAGGTATTATATGTTTTCTACAGAACATATATAAGTTATATGCAAATACTACACCATTTTGTATAATCTGTGAACTTCCATGGATTACAGTAACTATGGGAAGGTCCTAGAACCAGTCCCCTGTAGAAACAACTGTAAACTATCAAAAACTATTAGTCAGAAATGGGATTAAGCCACAATGACAAAGCCTCAATTTCTCTGTTAGTTTTACTTTTGAAGCTATATGGTTTCTGGTTTAACCATTGATCTATATATATGAGTTCTGTTTAGATATAGTTATAAGCTTGTTTCCCATTGTTATAAACATTAAATCATATTTATAGAACCATAATTAAGAACTCAAAAGAATCTCAGAGATCCTATTATCTCTTACTTTATTCATGAAGAAATTGTCTATAACTGTGGAACAGTCTTAAAATGTTAGTCTTAAAATCCTGTTAGCAACCTCTGTTAACTAAATTTGCTATATTAATTACTACATCATTCTGCAGAAAAGCTTTAAGTCAATAAATATTGTTTAAACTCCATGATAATATTCTTTATAAAAACTGTATTGTTGATGTACTATAAAGTCATGCTTAAAACATTCTTGCTTACTGTCTTATTTCAAGGCAAAGACACCCTTATATTTACAAGTATTTCACATGTATTATCTCATTTTATCCCCTTATTATTTTTGTAAAATAGGCAAATTTTATAACAAGGTTAGGAAAATTGCCCTAGATGATATTACTATTAAGTGATAGAACTTACAACTTTTGATTACTAACAAAAGGTCACTATAATAAAATAAGGGATTTCTGAGAAACGTGGGGAAGGGAAGATCCTTAACTCAATACTGGAAAAGACGTTTGACACAACATTTAAGACACTGGAATACCTGCATTCTATCTCTTAGTGCCTGGGTTAAGTCCCAGCTCTGTTTCTGGTTCTTGGTAAATGTTTTCATAAGTTGTTATTTAACAGTTAAAATTGTTTGCTAAGTTTTCATTTGATACTATTATTGTCAGTAAGTGATCTGGGAAGCCTGACTTATTCCCTCATTTCTCTCTTCTCTTCAAGACGGGAAACTAATTCTATACCAAAGGACTCTCCAGGATGTACAGTTTGATCTTTAGACCTTATAAAAGTGATGGCTAACATTTTTATATAATCATAGCATAGCCAGAATGAGAGCTTAAATTATGATTTCATAGCTAGATTTACTTTGCCATGGGCACAGTAAACAGATGAAACCTCCCTTTCAGACCAAATGAAGGGAGAGAAACTTTTAAAGTGAGGACATAACTTTCCTCATGGGATTGTCTACCTCAAAGAAAAACTACTATCAGAACATGCCTGTGACTATAGACTTCTAGTTTAGGCTACCAAAGATTAGGGATGGAGCACCCTCTTGACTTGCATCCTCTTAAAAGTTTCCTCTGGTCTGACGTTTTAACAAAAACCAGGAGGAAGAAGCTAGGCAGCAAAAACAATGTCAAGATAGGTGGCAAGCCAGTTAATGAATGCTTTACACAGTGATGGGCCATCAAGGAGACCCAGCAGGCCAGTCCACTGCATTGGTTGTCAATGTGGAAAGCAAGGGCTTCAACAGAAGTAAGCTTATGAAGAGCCCTGGTAGCTCTGCCAGCAAGAGTTGGGTCACTGGAAATGGAACTGCCCTGGAGTTGAAGGATTTCCAGGTCAGAGTTGGCAGGCCTTTTTGGCTCTAAGCTGGCTTCCAAAGTAAGCATTGCTGTCGAGAGGTTGGCCAAGTAGGGTCAGTAACATTGCAGGCAAAACTGTAAATTAACTCCTTTTAGAGATGCCACCTACCTTTTCTTTAAATCAGCTCTCCTCCCAGGCCAGCTAGGTAATGGAAGTCACACCTCCCTTATGATATACCCCATGTGAAGAGATAGATAGGTCTGGGCCTCATAACTGGCAAGGCCGTAAAGCCCACTTCTGTCAGTTTCTATTTGCCTCTCAATGAGAAAACTTGCTCCTGGTTTAGACAGCACCTTTTTTAAGGCCTATAATAATGACTGTGTGTGTCCTTGGTTTTAGATCCTGTGAGTTTAAACTGCTTGTTAGATTAGTTTTCTCCAGACTTGAAAAAGTAAAATTCTAGGTGGTGATGCACAAGAAACCTCAGATGGAAGCAGTTTCTGCAAACTGGCACTGCATCCCCCTGAAGAAGCCACCTCCTACTGAGAAGCCACCACTCCCTGCCCCCCAACCCTCCCCCCACAACTCTGTCTTGCCTGCCCTTCCAACGATGCCCCTTTTCAACATGAAGCAGCCAGAGCGATCATCGCCCAGTCCCCCAACAGAAGGTCCATTCATCTTGAGGGAGGAATGTGACGAGTCAGATGGGTTAATAAGCAGTAAGGGTGGTCTCAGTGGAATTTGGGGTGTAGAATGCTTGCTTCCCCCTAAAAAATTAATCTTTAGCAAGAACAAAATGTCCACCCTCCTTCCTTAGGAATCTCCATTTTACCATGAGAATAGCAAGGGAGTGGTGATTGCATCCTCCTGAGCTCAGTTTATTGTGAAAACTAGTTATCTATCCCACCCTTCTGGATGGTTTTTTGTTTTGAGAAAGCCAGATAGGGTAAAGGATTGTAAATCAGATCTTTTGATGGGTTTTGAGCCTTAAAACTGAATGTCAATCAAAATTGTCTTTAAAAACCACAGAGCCACAATGTCCTTAGGGTTTTTCCCTATCTTGGACCACCCCCTCCATGCCACTCTGGCTGGAGGTCTTTGACTCTAATAAATCTTGCTTTTGGGGCAGGCGCTGTGGGTCACTTGGTTAATCCTCTGCCTGCAATGCCGGCATCCATATGGGCACCGGGTTCTAGTCCCGGTTGCTCCTCTTCCATTCCAGCTCTCTGCTGTGGTCCAGGAGGGCAGTGGAGGATGGCCCAAGTACTTGGGCATCTGCACCCTCATGGGAGACCAGGAGGAAGCACCTGGCTTCTGGCTTCGGATCGGCGTAGCTCCAGCTGTAGCAGCCATTTGGGGAGTGAACCAATGGAAGGAAGACCTTTCTCTCTGTCTCTCTCTCTCTCTCACTAACTCTATCTGTCAAATAAATAAATAAATAAATAAATAATAAAATAAAGTTTAAAAAATAAATCTTGCTTTTAATTCTCAAAAAAAATTACACATTTCTTTTATGACTTAGCACTTACAAGTTACCTGTTCTAGCACTGGAAAGCTGGTTTGTTTGTTGTAGGTCAACCTAAATTGAGGAAATTATAACTATATATATGACCTAATGATATCGAAGGTGACCCCCTAAAATCTATACAAAAATGTGGCCTCTTAAAGTTCCCCAGAAGTCCCCATCTGGGGTGCCACTTATGTTATCAAAATTTGGGGTGCCACATGTTATCATCATATGCTTATTAATAAATCCCCAATATTAATAAGCCTGAGAGGGTTCTTGCCTAATATTTAGAGAAGAATTCTAAATACTGGCATCAATAAACAAGGCATCGTGGTACATTTTAGGCTTTTATTCAGTGAGAGATATCATAGGAAAGTGAGAGCTTTATCTAAGAGAGAGGTAAATCTGGGTTCATACCAAGCACCAGGAACCAGCCACATGGAGGAGCATCAAGGCCAGGAAGCCTAAGGCAGGTGGCCTGAAGGCCACGCGCCCTGGAGGCACAGGGCTACAGCCAGCCCCCTCCTGGCTAGAGGCCAGGACAAAGAGAAGAAGGATGGGACACATCTTGTCCAAAGGGTCCAAAGGGGAGTGGTTAATTAACCTGATTGGCCAGTGGGCACTCAGATGTGGCCAGGTAGGGGCATGAGGTCACACAGGGGCATGGCGAAGGTATCAGGTAGGGTGTGAAGTCACACAGGGTCTTGGCAAAGGCCTGGTCTTCGAGCTCACAAACCTAGTTGATTTTAACTTGCATGTCTGCCTACTTCATTAACATTCCTCTTTAGAGAAAATTTGCTTCTTATTTTATAAACTAGTTTATTTTACCTTAACTATATATAAGTTGCTAGTTTGTTTTTTTTTTTAATTTTTGACAGGCAGAGTTAGAGAGTTAGACAGTGAGAGAGAGAGAGACAGAGAGTTATAGACAGTGAAAGAGAGACAGAGAGAAAGGTCTTCCTTCTGTTGGTTCACTCCCCTAATGGCTGCCACGGCTGGCGCTGCACCGATCCAAAGCCAGGAGCCAGGCGCTTCCTCCTGGCCTCCCATGTGGGTGCAAGGACCCAAGCACTTGGGCCATCCTCCACTGCCCTCCCGGGCCACAGCAGAGAGCTGGACTAGAAGAGGAGAAACCAGGACTAGTACCCGGCGCCCCAACCAGGACTAGAACCTGGGGTGCCAGCGCTGTAAGCAGAGGATTAGCCAAGTGAGCCACAGCGCCAGCCGCTAGTTAAGTTTCTGGAAGAGCTACTAGAACATTTGGTATTAAATTTCTGTTGTCAGATGCATGTTGGGCAGTTGATTTGGCCTAGGTGCTATTTCAAGTTTTATTCTGAGGGAAATCCTACATCCTTGATGTTTGCATACTTCTTGAATCACAGTATTCATATTCAAATCATTTAAAGCAGGAAAATCAAATGATGATACTCTTAGGCCAAAGGATTTCACTGTCCCTCAATGCTCTTATTACTATTCTCAGTTGAAGAACAAAACACTATCTCCAGCAAGCCTTATAATCAGCCATAGATCAAATAAAAATTATTTTTTGGAACACAGAATCTGTTAACTGGATATTTTTAGTTAACAAGAGGATTAAAATATTGTTCTATTAAATAAAGGTAGTATAGGCCGGCGCCGCGGCTCACTAGGCTAATCCTCCGCCTTGCAGCGCTGGCACACCGGGTTCTAGTCCTGGTTGGGGCGCCGGATTCTGTCCCGGTTGCCCCTCTTCCAGGCCAGCTCTCTGCTGTGGCCCGGGAGTGCAGTGGAGGATGGCCCAGGTGCTTGGGCCCTGCACCCCATGGGAGACCAGGAAAAGCACCTGGCTCCTGGCTTCAGATCAGTGCGGTGCGCCGGCCGCAGCGGCCATTGGAGGGTGAACCAACGGCAAAAGGAAGACCTTTCTCTCTGTCTCTCTCTCACTGTCCACTCTGCCTGTCAAAAAAATAAATAAATAAATTAAATAAAGGTAGTATATTAATAATTCTCTAATTTTTCTCTGGAGAGGTGTTTTCTTGTCCACAGGATCCAACTCTAAATCGTTTAACAAATCTTTACCAGAGTTCAGGGATGCAAAAGGAAGTATAACCTATCAATTTAGAAATGCCATTGGGGATACCACCTCAGACCCCTTATAGCAAGTCTCTTTTTATAGCTGTAGGATTCCTCCCTGTCCAGCAGCAGGTTATAGGGTATCCTACTCTTTTTAGTGGGAATTTCCTTAAGCAAACCTTTTCTCTCCAGAATCCATGTCCAGTTATTCTTATTTTTTTTTTATTTTTCCCTTAAGTAATTGTAAAATTAGTCATTTAAAATGCATTGAAACCCTAATCTTGTTTAAATCTCTTAATAGGAACAAGGTTACATTGTGTGAGAAGAAGCTTTTCCCAGCCTTCATCTGTAGGTTTGAAACCCCGGTATTCTCAAAGCCCACATTTTCATCCTAGAAAAAATTTCAGAGCAGAGGAGTCAATTCTTACTCCACCTTCCTCTACTGATT